TCTCAAATATAGTTTATTTCATATTTTATATTTGTATCAAACCGCTATTTATAAGAAAAACTTTTTTAAACATATGATTTTTATTGATATATTGATTAATATATTTATACATTTAACGATCATTTAATTTGTTTCGTAGTGTCAGCGTAATGTTATCACGTAAAACATCGCACGACGAAGAGAGAGTTAAGATGCCGAAGGGGCGTAGAGGACTCGTTGATCCTGTTCATCAATGATGCAACCGAAGGAGATACACGATACCACGGTTGCTTCAGCAAGGCACGATGCATGTCCTTGGGGGTCGATTTCGTCGAGGACGACATAGAATCGACGAATAATCACTTTTCCGAAGTATTCTCTGGCCAACATTCTCATGGATAGCCATCCGCGTCCGTGGGTGATCATTTATTCAGGATGGATAATGAATCGGACGCCCATGGGAACGTCGTCATCGCCTTCGTGTGGATCACCAAGTCTATTCGTGAGTTTTCGTTGATTTCCGAAGGCTTACTCGGGAACTTTACGACCAGCCGGAAATGGCGTTGTCACGGTATATAGCCTATGTCATTTTGCTCGTTGCCTGCGAAATCTGCAATCACACAGATCTGCAATTTCAGATTGATATTTTCTCGGCGAAAATATTTTATTATAAATTTTTATTAAAATATTTTATTATAAAATTCTTTAATTAAATTTCTCTGAATTTTCCTAAATCGATTCTAACTTTAATTGCTTTTATTTTATAGACATATATTTATAGACTGTACTCAATTCGATCTGATGCTTATTATAAATCCTCGCGCAATGCTAATGAATATATATAGGTGACAAATTAAATAATCTTTTTTTAATATTACGACATTTTGTATTATGAATGAATCTATTATAAATATCCACAATGTTATCGGAACCCATACAAGTCGGAATTCAATCGATCTCTGACTGTATTAAGTCAGTTCGGTTGGAGAGGCTTGATTGATCGCCGGAACGCGCGACGTGCTCTTTTCTTCCTCGCAAGTGTAAACGATCATTTGTTTTCCTCCTTCCGCTTTCCATGCCGAGCTATTTGTTTAAAGTCGTATGGTATATAGAAGAAAGAGAGAGTCGCCTCGTTATTAGAGAAGCCTACTGACAAATGACCGCATCGGTGACAGCTCGTCGTCTGATCGATCGAAGGTCATGCTATTTGTAGAGAAGAAAAAAGAAACAGAGGGAGAAATTATCTTACATCTTATTATATCACTCAGCAAAATAGAATACGATAAAATTTTTGCAAATTTGTGAATGTCTGATAATTTTCTAGACAAATAGATTCAACTAAATATGTAATATTACATCAGTTGTGTATTGACAAGAAAGCGTGCTCGCTTAGTCGAATTAATTATTATTCGACCTACGTAACTTTAACTAACGTAAGTGATTGTAAGCGAAATTGCACTTGTTCCTGTACGTTCCCGTCAGCGGAAGGAACATATCTCCGTCACGATCCGCGCGTGGAACAAATTAGCGAACGGCACGCAACGCACGAAAATTGCATGAACACCGTGCGAGTCCCCTAATCTCCTTCTCAAAAATTCCATTAGTCGCGCGATGTCCCGATGATAATTGGACATCGACGTTTTTTAATCCGACTGACCCGTGCAAATGCGACTGACATGCAAATCCACGCAATGAGATTTTGGTATCCGGTCATTCGTTGGCCTGGAAATTCAATGCGTAGAGAAATAACGGAGAAAAAAGTACACAATGTTGCGGAATTGCAAAAGTATTAATATTTTGTGGATAATAAAAAATAAAGAAATAATATATTTACGCAAAAAGAATTTTGCAAATAACTGTATGCATATCTATATGTTGAGAAAATGCGACAATATATATAATATATATGATGGGCATCTTTTTTTTGTGATATATTAATGGGGAGGAGAAATAGGCAAAAGATATCATAACACTCATCATTTTCTAAAACAATTTAAAATAATTATTTAGCTAAATTAGAAAAATAAAAAAAAATTACATGTATGCCATAATATAAATCAGCAGAGCATATTATTTATAGAGTCTTAAATTGATTAGAATTAATGCATGTAAAAGATAATCCAATTGAATAAGTATAACATGTAATTTATAAGTATTAATCTTAATTTTATCTTACATCTTTTAATATATATGTTTAAAGAAAATGTATAATTTAAAATTTAAAATAATTGTTACGTTTGTTCTTATTTTAATTGTGTATTTATCACATATGATTAATTAATATATTTCGATAAAAAAAAAAATATATATATATATATATATATATATATCCGATAAAAAAATTTGATATAAAATTATAATAATTTTCTAAATTGATTCTCACATACATTGCTTGAAATAAATGTTATCTTAACGAAGAATAACACTTGATCTCTATTTTAATAACACTTGATCGGTATTTTCCGTTGACGTCGATTATGATGCGAGTCTTTGCAACATCGGGATCCCTAAAAAACTATCGAGCAATCATATTTTCCTCCGTTCTCTTCAACATCTGTATGTCGGATCCTCGAGCCGCTATATCACTCAGAGTTGTCACAGACCGGGACAGGTTACGACGTCCTCAGTTTCTACCAATTTGGCGACACGCTCGCGCGTTCGCGGATCCGGACCGAGTTATTGCAAGGGACAGAGGGATGATAACGCGCAGGTCGGGGCTTGTAAATAATATGGAAAACCGCGGAGTGGTATAAGGGAGATGCGCGGTTTTCCTTCGCCTGTATCCGGCAAGAAAACGGGAAAAGGAATACGAAAAAGGTAACGGTGCTGTGGTGTGCGATAGAAAGAGAAGATTGAAAAGGAGGAAAGGGACAGGAGGACATCTCCGACTGACGGTATACACCGGCGGTGACCCGAGTTGCCATATTTCAAAGTGGGGCGTCCTCCGAGGGGCCGTGAATACCTTAATAGTCATAAGGTGTATCTCCGCATACGAGCGTATGGAGTTGTCCCCTAAAACGTATTCGAACATTCCATAACCGGCAGCTGTACGACACGATACAGTTCTGAATAGCTTTTCTCCGTTGCGGATATAACGAGGATCGCAGGCGATATAGAAACGGTACATGGCCGTTAAAGCAATAATATTGTCGTAAAAATTGCGATAGCCTCGCGATTGGTGACCGCATAGAGAAATACGGAATATCATTACTTTGCAAACTTTTTCGTATAATTTTCAATACCACGGGAATCATTAAGATTGAATTTGTCGATCTAACTTATTTATTTATTTATGATTTAAATATTTTGTTTTAATTTTTGGATATATGTCCAAAATTTTTGCGCAGAATATAGTTATGGATAATATGGTTAAAAATAAGTATATGCGTAATTGCACTAAATCGCAAATGTTTGATTTATACAAGTCTACTCGTGGTCCAGCGCTATTTAATAATGAGAGACTCTCTATTACTCAATGGCTATTAGGAAGAACGCGGAAAGAGGGGTGGCTTTCGGCTCCACTTGGTTCACGGTGCAATCGGTTAATCACCGTTCTCTCATCCCCAGTTTGTGCAGCCTGAGACAAGGTTTAAGCGCCGACGTAGCCGCGCGCCCTTCGGCCCACCTACCGGTCCCCATATCAATTAATCTTACCCAGAATGCAATAACTGTCCAATCTGCTCCCGTGGCTGCGTCATGGTGTCGTGCAGTCTGTGTTGTAATGTCCTTCCTCTTTCCCTCTCTCTCTCTCTCTCTCTCTCTCTCTCTTTTCTCGCTATTCTTTTTCGTAGATAAATTTTTCGATGTAATCTTTGTTTCCTTTTTTTGTCAGACCTTATCCTTTTTTTCCGCGATTGGCATAGACAATGAAAGCTGTAAACGAACCTATGGAAAATCTCATGTCCACCTCAACATCCCTTCATCCCCGCACTTGTATGTCTCTGACAAAATAATGAGCGCAAGAATGAGATAGAGAGGAAAAGAGCGGCCAAGTCCAGGGAAACTCGGTAGAAAACATATTGGGCCGTTAAGGGGTTCTTCGGGGTAGTCTACTTAATTGGCACGGCCGTTTAACCCTGAATTGCAGTGAGTGAAGCTGGAACGATCACGATCCAGCAGTGCCAGATTCAGCGACTTTGATTAATAGAGCTATCGATTCGGGATGAAAAGCAAACGATTATCTTAATTAAAGTACTGTGCACATTATAATATAATTATTTTACTATTTTTTATTTAAATTCGATTCGTAATACATTTTTATTTTTGACACTCATAACGACGATATGCTTAACAAAATTTATATTTTATTTCGTATTTACATTTTGCAAGAAATTAAATAATAAAAAGCTAATTTGATAAAAAGACGTCAAACAATTGAGAGAGGGGAAGAAATTGCTAGACAAAAGAAGCGTTTACAAATGGTAACAGCGTTTATTGTTAATAATAATAATAATGACAATAATATTAATAGCGAGTTTCTAATTACAATAATTACATAATGATATTAATGGTACAACAATAAAAACTTCGATAGCGAGAAAAAGGGAAGAATATAATAACTTTTTAATGGAGGCCACGATGAATAAGCCGCCAATAGTCGGAACGACTCTGTGCAGCACACATGTGTGTGTATGTGTGCGTGTGTGTGTATGTGTGCCCATGTCTATTTATAATATTTATAGCTTTGATTCATTCATATTTATATCCATATTTGTATGTATATATTTATACGCTTAAACTAGCCGTGATACTGTCTACGTGCTATTTACAATTTTTGGTCACAGTTGCAACTTTAGGGGTTGTATTTGACGCCCTTTTTTCCAACGACAGGTGCGGGAGATATGCAAAATACAGTACGATTCTCATCGTACTTTGACACCTTACACGCTGTTCAATGATCATGCTACTCGGATAATGTTTATACTTTGCAAAAGATGCAATTTTTAAATATTATCAATTTTTACGATATCGAAAATAATATATTATTTGAAAAGATTTTTATATATTATTTGAATAGATTTTTGTTTTTTTTTTTAATATCTTGTATCATGATATCGTGCACTGTTAAAATGGCATACATTTTTGCAAAATGTCCGACTAACTTGAAAATTGCACTGCGTGTCGTGAGAATATCTACGTAATAAGACAAGTTACAATAACAGGTAATCGATTAGCAGTAGGTAGACGTTGATTAAAGTAGAAAGTGCTAACCATCATTCGTAACAAAACAGTCGATCGTCCATTCGCCTATTTTTTTATACGCATCTTATGCATCTTTGTAATTAATAAATTATCGTTTCTTGTTGTAGCGGAAAGCTCTCTTGTCCTAATAAAAGAGTCGCTGAAGAAATCAGTACTCTAGCATGTTTCATCTGACACGTTTAGGAACGAAATAAATGCAATGCTTTTTCATGGAATGTTTCAGTCAAAAATTATTAGTTTCTCCATCCTTAATATATTCTACAAGTCAAGAATCCTTGAAGTAGCGCAATATTCGCTCAACGATGAAATTCGATGGAACAAATAATCACATAAATATCAACTCATATAATCTCTTCAGATTAAAAGATCAATAAAGATTTCTCAATAAAAAAAATATTAGAGTTCCCCACCTTCAGTCAATTTCCGTTGTCCCGAGAATTCATCTTCTAATTGCACTGTTCCAGTTATTTTCGCATTCGAATCATGCGAATCTGAATTTAGATGAAATTTTGCATCTTCAATATTATTTGTGATTGAATGATATTAACGTTTTGCTTTCTAATGACTAATATATCCTCAATTCAAATCAATTATTGTCCTCTAATAATTTTTTATTGCAGGTTCTTTAATATAATAATTTAAGTTGCAAAATTGTGTAAAAATTTAAATTATATCATATAACTTTTTCACTGTTAGAAGAACATATTAAGTGAAAAATATAAAAAATAATTTAAGATGCAAAAAGTTGATATCATTCAGCCAATAACCCATCGCGATACATTCCGCAATCGCTTCACTCATGTGATTCTATCCATGAGATTAATTTATCGCTCTCGGTTGCCTCTCCGCCATCATTGATGATCATCGTTCATGATTTCAGTTCTCGCAGTGGTTACGGCCTCAATCCGGTCAGACTGCCTGATTCGCGGAAATGGACCGTTAATTGCCACCATCTGCAATCGCCGTTCCGCGCCGAACCGGCAGCTTATTATCAATCGCTGCCTCGTCATAGCTTCACTGCATCATCGGTGGATTTCCACTGGGTAGGGAATTCTGTCCGGGAATCGAACCAATCGGCGGTCGATGCGACGCGTTGAGGTCAGCGTGCTGGGTCTCGCGGTGCCTCCTCAGGTCGACCTTTCGTTGAAAAGCTCGGCCGCATAGCTCGCAGGCGAACGGTTTGAAGCCCGTGTGCTTCCTCGAGTGCGTGATCAGGTTGCTGCTCTGCGAAAACGCCTTGCCACACACTTGACACTTATGAGGTTTCTCTCCTGCAACAGGAAAAAGATAAAAAATTATTTAGAGAAATTAATTTTCTGGCTGATTAAATTCTCCGGTAGACTTATATTTAAATATAAGTTATTTGATTAGTTTCTTGCTTTTAGGTAGTTTTTAAATAACTTATGGAAACAGTAATTTTATGAATAATCCCTAATAATTCAGATATATCTATTAGAATCTTTTTGTCGAAAGCTGTATAATATATAATACAAGCGGAAGTATAAATAATAAATAAAATTAAACGATATATTGGAGGAATTCCAACTACAAAAAATTTTTTGCAGTATTTCTTCTGAAAATTTATCGACGCTGATATAACGTGTTATATTATCTGAACTATCAAAATATACTTTCTCGTGGAGCACAATGAGCTTAACAGAAAAATCGGAAAACTCCAATAGCATCATTCAGTTTCTCTTTTACGTCGTCTGCCACATTCCAGCGAGCATTCACGTTAATCTCAAAGTACCGATTCTCAGTGCTGCCGACTCTATCCTATTCGGTCAAGATTCTCCTCGGGCAAAAGGAGAGACTACAGGGGGAAAAGAGGATGGAAGGCACGAAAGGCTAGCCACCTCGCAAGACGGGTGTAGGTGGCATCAGCGATGCGGGGCACGCCCGGTTAAGATTTCCTCCCAAGCGAGAATCTCAGCCACCCCGGCGGCGAGAAAAGGCAGCGAGCGAGACAGACGGAGAGAAGAGCGAATAGTGGAAAGGGGTGCCTATGTGCGCCGCTCTAGGGGTTCGTTGTCTCTCAGAGGCGAGGGGAGAATCCCCGGTTGGAAGGGTCGCTCGTTTCTCTCATCCTGGCCACGAGCTCTGATTGGCGGCCAGGGGCGGCTCCAACCCCCGTGTTACCATGACTACCGGCGGGATAACCCGGCTGCTGCTGACTGAGGGTGGTTAAAGAGAGAGGGAGAGACAAAGAGGCTGCTGGCTGTTGAGGGGTGGTGGTGGCACGACGACGATGCGAACTACGCCGCCGGCAGGTAACGGAGGGCCCGCGTTAATGGACTCCCCCATACGTCCATACGTCTGGTCGAGCAACCGGTACACACGTATGTGCACCCTCATCCTCCCGGCATCGGCACGACGACCGGGCGGAGGGTGGATCCATAAACAACTCGTTAGCCGAGCCTTCAATCTCGCCCCGCCGATATACGACGAGGCCGTCGATCGCCCTCGCGATTATATCCGATCCGCGATCTTGATTTCCTATCCTAGGAAAAAATATCGGCTGTTCTTTTCCGGGGATTTCTCGAGATTGGAAGTGCTGATCTGTATCCAAGGAAATGTAATATCTTTCCCGAAATATCCGAATCAGCGCAAAGTAATATAATTATCGAGCTTTTACAGTTTAGAATTTTTTATACAATTTTACAATTGATAATTTTCATATTTGCATTTCATGTGTAATAGATAAATTAACATATTAAATTTGAATTACGTTTTCTATTTCGACTAATATTTTATTTTATTCTTTCTAATACCCTTTTTTTAACTTTTTTCCGAAATAAGAGATTCTAATAATCTTTCTCTTTAAAGACTCATGAATAAAAAAAAATAATTGAAAAGAAATATAAGTTACAATAGAAAACAGTTTTTATTAAAAGTTTATATTATATTAATTTATTGTAGAATATTATTAGATAACATTTTTTATTAATTTTGTCCTAAATCTACAGGAACATTATTCATATTTTTACCTAATCTATCAAGTTTGCGTATCGTGCACAACGCTTTATCGCAGTCATTTTATGCGAACATCAGCCGCATAGTTGCGCTACCCTTTGGATCAAGATTCACGCGCGGATTCGGAGTTAAAGACGCGCTTTCATTGGAGGGAGAAGAGGGGTATTGTAGGAATCCGACGAGTCCGCCGCTCGATGAAATTCCACAGAGTTCTCCGCGGACCCAGGGGGTGGGACGAAACGGATAGAATTTTCGCGGAGTTAAGCGCCGGTGGAAGCCAGGACGGGGCTGAAAGAGCGCAGGGCGGTCGTTTAAAATTTATGAGCTCGTAAAATCAAGAACCGTCCGAGCGCTCGCACCGAGGTTGCCCATTTCGCATCTATATCGCAACGACTTTGCCATGGTTACGGAATATCGTTTCTGCCAAACCATCCGAAAATCCAAAGTCTCTCGATCTCGATACAAACCTTTCACACTTGACTGACTCGTAAATGGTTTCTGAGAATTTGCTGCATATCTAATCGAATCAAATAAATAAAAAATAAAATTTTATCCTAGAAATACAGATTTAACAAAAGTAGTTTGCTTCAATTTTTCTGTGAATAAAATCGATTTTATATTCGTAAAAAAATTTGTCATAATTTTTCAGTAGTTTTTTTAAATGGCTTCTATTTATAATATATGTACGCGCATTTTGTATTTTATTCAATGGTATGTTCTTTATTTGCTATTCAGTGATAATGCCGCTAATTTTGTCCTTTTATATTGTTGATGTAGCTAGAGTGCAAATTGCTGCATTTTTAGCGGAGGATATTAGGTTCCACATTTATTCGAGAAAGAGAGGTGGCACTTTAAAATATCATTTTCTTGAGAAAACGAAGGATTAAGAGAATAAGAGAGAAAGAAGGGAAAGAAGAAGGGGACGATAATGTGTAGAAATGGGACGTCGAGTCTACTGGGATTCTCGTTCCTCGGAAACGAAGTAAAGAAGAGAAAGACAGGACAGAAAGAAAAGGAGCCACCGGAAATTTACGCGCTCGTAAAAATCAAGAGCCGTCAGAACTCTGTTGGATCCGTCGGGTTTATTTCTTCTGTGGAATTGTCTGTCTCGAAATAATCGCGTTAATAAATTCGTTGGTAGCAACGCGTTACCGAGATAATATATTATCTCATTTAACAAGATTAAACATTGCAAATATTATTGTAAATTATTGATGGATCATTTTAATAATTAATCTTTCTCGAGTAAACAATTTTTTTATTCAATCTTGTATAAATAATTTTACTTGTTATGAAATTTATAGATGCCAATATTTTCATACAAGAGAATAAACGAGGCAATACAGCTTCAGAAACGTGATCGGAAGTATGATCGATGATCAATAATATTTCAAATATGAGTCTGATATTCCAACTATGAGCGTGAACGAAAGAATTTCCGAAAGAAGAAATAAGGGAAGAGAAAAATAAAGAAAATAGTCGGCGCAAGCAGAACGTGATCATATATGCTTATGAAAGGAATGTCAAAATGGATTTTAATTCTTTGGATATATGTGCCATAAAATATTAATCAGTTATAATAAATTTTATAATTGATTGCACGCATGTGTACAATGTTATAGCCGTAATTTGTGAAACAGATCTAAATCTTTTACAATTTCTTGATTTTATTTATGAATAAAAAAAATATTGTTCATATACACAAAATCACACAATGTAAATTAGTAATTATATAAGAAAATCTACTTAAAAATCCCTTTAAAATTAATAAGTTGATCGAAGTTTAATAGATAAAAATTTGTAATAAAAAATAAAATACTCAAATGATATTAAGAGCGGAAATTCGATAATAAACAGATTTATATTATTATTAGTATATTTTTAAATATAATTATATTCAAATTTTATATTTATTGAAATGTGATCACATTTGACAACTTGCATTGCGATAACTCAGTTTTTATAATACATATCGTTTCGGAAACATTCAATTTTCAACATATAATCGGTGGATCGTGAATTATGAGGGCGGATTCGCCGAGAATAGAAATTTTCGAAAGAGAAGCATGCTGGTATGTGTTGAAAAAAATCGAGCGTTTCTCGTGGAATTTACGCGCTCATAAAAATCAAGCACCGTCGGAGCGCACCTTATTCGTCCTTATCTTTTATGCGAGAAGCGCACCGGGGTTTCGATCTAAATGCACACGGGATGCATTCTCCGGCTCGCACGTACATGTGGCCTTCGAGTGGTGGTGGGATCAAAGATTTAACCGGGGCGGCAGCAGTTGAGATTCGACGCTCGCGAATTTTTAACAGCGGAAGATTGGCGAGCTCAGGTCGGCCTGACTGACTAAGGTCGTGGAGATTCGTGACTGAGAGCCCCTGAGGTTTAAGACGCCATTACACCCCTCGGAGCTGTCGGCCGACGCCCCTAAAACTATATTAAACTCCCGGAAATCTTACGCGAGCGAGGGTGCTTCGTCTCCGCTAATTCTACCGCCCCGTCGCTCGCACGCTCGTCCCTCGCGAGTGCCGCAAGTACAACCATTCCCTTCGCACATCCCTCTTGCGAGCGAACTTACTCTTGAGAACAGGAAACCGAGACGGCATTTTGATCGACTCACTCGACAGAGCTACGTGCTGAGCTGCCATTACGACGACTTTGCTGAAAAGCGTCTTGATCCAGCAATCTGGATTTATGTATTAAGCCTCTCAAATACTTTAATGCTCATTGATTTAATTATTACTGTCTACATGCTGACATTTCGATCGTTAATGTTCTAATCAGGAATCATGTTAACGAATAATCAGTTAATTATGTTTCAAAGAAGAGGTGCACAAATATAACTTGATATTCTTTATATTTTCAATCTTTAATTAGAAAAATATTTAATAGTAAGAAATCACAAATGAGATATTTAATTAATTATAGATGTACAATAATTAAATCTCTTTAAATATTTTATAAAATTGCTGAGATAAAATATCATGACATATATTTCTTTGAGATGTTATATACAATATCGAAATTAATGATAAAAATAGATCTTAATCGCTCGTCTATTGATTACGAACAGCGAACTTGTCTTTAAATTTAGAAAATGGAGAGCGAATAGTTTGAGAAAGAATGATAAAAAGTACAGGAAAGACGAGAACTAAAATATAGAAAGAAAGAAACAACTAGAAAAAAAGCATCAAAAGGAGGATTGTAGTATGAAGAAGGTGAACCGGACGTTGCCCGAGGCATTGATTTCTTCTCGTCTTCATCGACCACGTTCCGAGCCTCTTGGGGCGTCTC